ACCTCCGGCTGGCCTTCTGGGCCTCATTACCCACTCTGCGCCTCTCCACCCCGCACTATCGCAAACAGTAACATGAGCTACACGTGCACACTAAACACACACACACACACACACACACACACACACACGCACACACACCAATGATGGGAGGAGTTTCAGTACCTTGGTGCGTGAGCTATCTGAGTAGACTCTGGCGTGAGCAACAGACACACTTACACATTTGAAGAGTTTTTATACAGTATATATTTCCCTAGAATGTTTTTTTTTATTTCTACTATTAAATCTTCAGTTCAATTAATACTTTATTTTTATTTTTTAACCAATACTGAAAAGCTACAGACCAAGGAGCACCATAGGACTTTTATTCCTCCCCTAAAATATATTGTTTTTATCTTTTGTGTTTATAAAAGGAAAATTATTTAGTGTGGATGTTTTATTTTGTCTTTTCTGTTGCTTTTGGAAATTTGACATTTTGTGTATTTGTGCTTGTATATTTAAGGTAGTAGCAAAGTTCTGTCTGACTGTAATAAGATGTATTCTTACTTAGATATACCTAAAGCCATCTTGATCTAATGTAAAGAAACAAAATAGGAAAAATGAGGAAAACCCCCCCAGCTCTTTCCTCCTCCCTCTTTTTTTAAGGGTAGTGTAAATGAAATGATAAAAGCCCTGAGGGTACAATGGCACCATGGGACGGTGTTTCCTTTGTCTTATTTGACTTCGGTATTTATTTAGGACATTCTGAAATTCACTCAGCTGTTTTATGTTTCCATAAATTGTTCGTTCTTTTCCCCTCCACTGTCAGAAGTTTTACGTATTGGGTAACCTGATTTGACCCGATGTCAAGCGAATGTGCTGAAATGTTAGTTTGACTTTGACTCCAATCACTGGCTTTAAAAGTTAAAATGACTTCCTCCATTTCCACAATGTTTTAATTTGTGCCATCTTCAAACATGTTCTAAAACCATCTTAACATGATGTTCAGCCTGCATAGTTTGTAACAGTTTAGTCTATAAATTGCATTCATGAGTCATAAAAATCTTGAAAGAAGTACTGCTGTTCTTGATTTGGCCCTCCTGGTATTTATCACGACCATAAGTGAAGTGGAATCTTATAAGTCTTTGTACATTTCTATTTTGTTACACTTTCAACACATTTGAAATTGAGTTTGAATGGTGACTTGTACCTTCCTCAAACCCTGTAGAATCATTGTTTGGTATCAATTTTTTGATTTGGTTAGTTTCTGCCCTTGCTAATTAATGTATGGTACCAATAAAAAAGATACATTTTCACTTTCGAGATTGAAGTTATGAAGTTATTGCTAAACAAAATTGTTTTTAATATTGCAACAATTCACCACTGCAATTTTATTTCTAGTTTTTTTTTTTTTTTTTACTTTCACAAATTGATGAAAATGACGTGACAAGATAAGAAAACCTTTATTTGTCTCACAATGGAGAAATTCCCATTTTACAGCAGCAAAATTATGAAAGGGAGAAAGTACAAGACTGAAAGTATATAAAATATGAACTATAAATATGAACATATTAGCGAGGACCTCAGATTTAGGTTTTAATGATTAATTTTTTAATTGTACTTTTAACTTTGCACTGACACAGGAAGGAGCAGTTAGACATCCACTGATTACAAGATGATGAAAATAAATTTATCTTAGAGTGAAAAAAATAAAGATTACGATGTTGCATGTCGGTATATGGCAATATACAAATATTGCCAATATTACTTTAGTAATATTTGTCCAATGCAATGAGTAGAAAGTAGGAAGTATATTGACAGTGATGTACAGTATTTGCGGTGAGAGATGTATTACAGGATACCCGGTAATACCGGGCCGGTATGTACTGTACAATACTGGGCAAAATGCCAGGTTAACGTGGATAATTAGCACCCAAACACCACATGATCAAGCACGCGGAGCTGTTCTAAAAAAATTCAGTGGGATGGGACATTATTTTTGGAATGTGGAGGTGATCGTTTGAAAACACTAGCAGAAATTTATACAAAGTTGCATATGATATTTATCTGTTTCTCAGTTGCTGTAAGAAATTACAGTACATGATCAGTATCGTCACATATAAACGTAATTTGAGCAAATGTTTTATTTATTGACCTTATCCATGCACTTAATTGAACTGTGTTTTCTTTTCTCTTCTTTCTACCCACAATCTTGCTGCTGAAGGCTGTAAATTTCCCCAGTGTGGGACAAATAAAGGATATCTAATCTAATCTAATCTAATCTAATTTCAGAAGTGCGTCTAAAGCTGGCATCCCTTCAGATATCATTAGAAGTATCTCTAAAGACACAAAACTTAAAAAGTTCACAGATTGTCTTTTATCAGATTCTTAAATATTTCTAATAAGTCAGTCAGTGAGTCTATAGATGTGCCATGGACGGAGAGAAAAAGAGCACGAAATGAAGATTCTCGATGATAAATTATAGGCCATTATAGGCCATGTTTAATTTATGAGACCAAATACCTGCACAGCACTGCACCGTATGTGTGTAATCTGGGTGTAGTGGCACTATGGGCCGGTAGAAGAAGACTCAACATTAGTTAGCACTTGCAGTATGCTAGCTGAAGAGCAACTGTTGTGTCAAGGATTCATGACCTACATTATATACTCAAAGTGAGGTGAGAACTAACGTTCGTATATTAGCAGTAACGTGGCCAATTCATGCTGCACGATTTTTGACGTCAATTTCCACGGCCACACGTTGCTCGTAAAAGCTCGATAAATGGATGCTAACGCCGTTTTCTTGTCAGACTTTAGCTAGGTAGCGTTAGCTGTATATTTGCTAATCAAATACTCAAAAGCAGGGTGTTACTTGATCGTTATTATCGATGGAGTAAAAAGCGTTCGGTATCACGATGAACAGACTCAGTTTTGTTCACTAACCAGGTAAAGTTTAAAAGGCTAGTTTACAAACAGCGTTTTAGCTAATGCTTGTTGATTAGCTGCCCATCCTGTGCATCTTTAGCGATTCATTTTAGCCAACGTCAGCTGGTAAATAAATTAAATGGCTAGCTAATGAGCATAATGCGATTTTCCATGCGAAAAAAACTGCCGCAAATTTTGTTAACCTGTCAACCTACTGACAGCCCTAGTCAGAGGCGGCGGAAACAGCGGGTGCTGTCTTTGGTGTGTCCCTCTGCTCCATATTCACGTGTTTTCATACCCCTTATTTATTGCGCTTCGTGGTGCCTATCTGAACATCTATCAGTTGTTGAATGCATAGTAGCATGGGTTAGAGCTTTTATCAGTTGCTCACATCAATGTTCCTGCTATTCAAGATACAGTACTGTTCAAGAGATGATTGACGTTCATAGAAAATATACTTTTGAATTAGAATGGCATAGTAATACGGAAAAGGTACCGCAACCATGTCTTTACACTTTATAATGGGGTTAGTTTACGACTGTGAACCTATTGTAGCCCAATTTATCAAGAAATAAAGCCCTTACTTACAAGTCTGAAAAATGTGTACTGAATAACATGATGGATGTTGATTGATGTCCTATAGCCATTACTCTGAGCCATTGTCTAACGTATATCGTCATCTGTGTTATAATATTAATATTTAAATATCCTTAGACCTCGCCATGTCTCAGATGGAGAAGAAGGCAGGTTTGCTGAGGAGGACATCATCCTCCAAGAAACCGCTGAAGGAAAAGGTGGTGTTGATGTATGATGAGATCTTTGCAGTGAGTATCATGCATCACACACCCACATTACATCACCATTTGTAGTCATATTATTTTTGTAACTAATGTGTTGTATGTTTGTTTTAGAAAGACGACCCAGCTAAGAATAACCCTCGCTTCTGGGATGAGTTGTTTCTGATGAAGGTACTTTGTAGAGTCAATACTTACTCGTGTAATAATGTATGAATGTGTTCTTTTGAAATCAGCATTTTTTTTCCATCCATCCATCTATCCATCCATTTTCCAAACTGCTTATCCTTATGAGGGCCGCGAGGGTGCTGGAGCCTATGTCAGCTGTCTTCGGGGAAAGTAGTGTAAATATGCTCAGCAGACACTTACTTGACGATGTGCATTTCATCATGAAATCTGGAGAATACCAAAGAATTTTGGGGTGCAATCCAGGCCCCAGTGTTATAAAGCTGGGTCACCATCAGACTTCAAGGTTTATATGAAAACTAATTTCACTATTCTGTTTAAGACAGACAGATCGATAGGTAGATAACGTGTGTGTGTGTGTGTGTGTGTGTGTGTGTGTGTGTGTGTGTGTACAATTTCTAATTATCTGAGTCTCTCAAATAACGAACCATTTCAAAGATATCGTGTGTGTGTGTGTGTGTGTGTGTGTGTGTGTGTGTGTGTGGGTGGGTGGGTTGGGTGGGTGTGTGTGAGAGAGAGAGAGACAGAAAAATATGTATAACAACCAACTTTTTAAAAATATTGTTTATCTGGAAATCAAAAGGTGTCATAAGGTCCGAAATAAGGTAGAGGGTGAAACATGAACTAAAAACAGGTGTGAGTGTCCTATGAGACTAATTGTATAATTGAAAAATGTTTGCAAAATCCTGAAAATATTAATAGAAATCGCCCCTAAAATAAGATGTCAGGTAGGTGGGAGTTGAAAATGTTGCCGTTGACTAACTTTCATGGTCTTTATGTCTTTTATGTCGTATTTATTACTTGTCTGTCATTTGCGTGTTCAGCATTGTTTTGTGCATTTCAAAATGATGTCCTTCATTTTCCAGGTGAACTTGGAGTACCTGGAGTCAAAGCTGGAGAGTGTGGATGGCGAGGAGGTGCAACGGATCCAGGACAACATCAATTCGCTCTTCCATCACAGTGTTCAGGCTCTCGGAGAGGAACATCAGATCAAAGTGGTCAATGCTCTGCAGGTGCTACAGGTTTTGGACTGCATTGTGTGCGTGCATGTTTCATCTCTAACCAAATTCTGCCCTGGAAGACTCTCTGTGCACTTTTCAGAGGAGTTCATCAAAAGAATAAGTCGGCGTCTGGCTTTGACATCATTAATATGCTTGTGGGCTTTGACAAGGCCGAGCAAAGGATGAAGGTAGTCAGTCAATCTAAAATGTGGAAGCAAAAAAATCTATCACGTGCTTGCACGGAAAATGTATAAAGTGAGGTTCAATCATCGATGTGTTTGCTACAGGATCTAATGGAAAGACTGGACAGCCTTCTTTGTGGAGATGGCTCAGAGAGTCTGAAGAGCCTTTGTCTCAAACTTCTGCTGTGTCTGGTGACGGTGAGACATCACAACAATACAGTATTGAAGAGTACAGTTGCTACTGTTACGGTCAGGGACCATTTTTAACTTGATTATACTCTGTCTGTTTACAGGTAACTGACAATATTAGTCAGAACACCATCTTGGAATATGTGATGATCAATAGCATCTTTGAAGCCATTCTGCAGGTGGGTGTGAAAATATCCATTTTGTGCACTTGTTTTTGAAGTAAAAGAAAACATTTAATGCAGAAATATCCCATATTTCAAGTACAATGTTGAGTTGGATTATTTGTCGTGACTCAAATCTACATAGCAAAACGCTGCTGAGTTTTAAATTTGGAAAATTTGGAATTAGTATTAAAATTAACCGGAGGAACCGAATGCCAGCCCTGGTGATCAATGAACAGGTGCAAACGGGAGAAAAAAAAAATCCAAAAGTTGGTTGTTTTATCAGTTGTTCATATTTCCTTGTGGCTAGTATCGACTGTAAAATGTGTTTTGTGATTGTTTTCTTTTGGTCATCAGTGCTTCTGCTCGGTCTCTGCAGATTCTTTCTGATGTGTCCAGCAGAGGGCAGCATGGTTATGACGCCGTCGTTCTTCTCGCCCTTTTGGTCAATTACCGGAAGTATGAGGTTTGTTCTGAGACTGACTTGATGCACGCGTAATCCACTAGTAATGTAAAAAAATACAATACCTTGATTGGACTTGGGCAGATTTTGTCTACTCCAGTACATTTGTTAGTGTAATTTACAATATGTAAATTCCTTCAAGGGATCTATGTTCACTGCTTTTTTTCCTCTCTGTCAGTCTGTAAATCCATATATTGTGAAGCTCTCCATTGTGGATGATGAGCCAACATTGGATGTAAGTATGTCTTGTATAGTGTTGGGCAATCGTTTCAAGCTTCCTTTTGCTTTGTTGTTTGAATTACCCCTTGTCACACAGGGATTTGGAAATAGTCCCAAAAATAAAAGGGACATACATCTAGCTTTATTGTGGAGAAAAAAAAATACAGATTTCCTGAAAACAGATACAGCTATGTACTTATCTTCAGTCGGTGGAAAGTCGGCTTTCTTACTAACTTTCTGTTAGTCATCCTCACTGAATCAAGAAGTGGCCATGAACAGATTAACAAACAGGATGCACCCCAATATTTGTTTTTCATTTGTTAATAGTTCACCCAAGGTGTAAATTTGCTCTTCTCTGAGTGACGTTTTAGTTATACATGTGATCCATACAGAATTGCTCAAACATAAAGTCTAACCGTTCCTAAAACATCTGCAGAGCACTGTATGTATGTCACCACTACTCCAATAGTAGTTTATCCAAAAACAATCTAACATGTATCGGTGTATTGTTTTTCTTTTTCTTTTTTCTCCCAGGGAATGGGCCTTGTTGTCCACCACGCGCTAACAGAATATAACAGGTAAAATGTAATCCTTTCCAGGTATAAACAAAAAATGACAGTCTACAATGATGAGCCCGCTGGCACCATGAACTCTATGGGATGTTTTAAAATCTTGACAATAATATGTTCTATGTGCCTCGACCTGTCTAAAACATGGCTTCCTGATTAATATTATGTTTGTAGATTCTGAGTTAAGCAGCAAAATCCACCTGTTTTTACTAATCTCAGGCGGCGGCCATTTTGCCTCTTTCTGTCAAATGAAAATGACATCACCAATCATGGCTCACGTGTTTTCTGAAGCTTGAGCCATGATTGGTGGTTGAATGAGCCGAGCAACTGCCCCCGCAATCGACACAACAGGTAGATTTTGTTGCTTAACTCATATTTCACAGGCACAAAATTAATCAGAATGCCTTAGACTAGTGGAGGCGCATTGAACATATTGTCAAGATAATTTTAATGATTGAAATCCCATTTAAGAAAATTGTGAAAAAGTTACTTATATAGCCCGCTGTCCTTAGTCAGTCTGTCAAATGTTTTTGTATGCAGCAATGTTTGGAATTCCTAAGTAAGTGGTTGTGTTAATTGACAAAGGTATCCGAGTAACGAGTGACAGCTTTGTTTAGTCCATTGCTGTGCACACAATGCACATACCTTTTGGTTACTTTGTCTTTGTCTGACTCTACCTATCATTTTGTCAACTTCGTTACTTCCTGCTTCCTGTCAATTGTCTCAATTTATTCTCTCGCTACAGGCAGTACAAAGACAAAGAGGAAGAGCACCAGGGTGGCTTTTTCTCCACCCTCACAAGTATGGTTGGTATTTTCCTTTGTACAATTTATTGAAAGGATTGATGAACAGTTTAGCACTGATGGTCAGAGTTGTTTTCCAAAGTTGAACAAAGCTATGTTTCTATATTCGTCCACAGGTGGGCAGTATGTTTATTGCAGATGCAGATGAGAAGCTCTCCGTTCAGTATGTGACAATCTCAGTTTTAACGTTTTTGTTTTAGTGGTTGCAACATTTTCTGTTGTCTGATTCTGCCATTCTTCATGGTTAGCAAACAAAGAAATGTGCCTTTCTGACTCAAATGCCACTACATACATGATACTCAACGTAAAGAACAGTTGGGATGGAATTCAAATGGTGGATTGCTTGTGTTGCTGGCTCAGACGTAAATTGTTTTTAACCCAGAACAAATTTAAGGACTATTTATCAATGTAATACTGTATACTAGAAAGGGTCATCAATGTGGTGGTCTTTGGGAGCTACGTAGTGCCCAAGTAGCCTGCAGGGTACAGGCCTGCTCTGTAAATAGCTCATCAGTTATGGGATATTGTGATTTTCTAGGAATGTTACAGAAGTGATCATTTGAAAATGTGAGCACCGGCAGAGATTTATAGAAAAAAAGTGTTGCATCTTTACCGCAATATATCTGGTATCAGTCGGCACGGTGATGACTGGTTAGCACAACCGCCTCACAATGCAGAGGTCATTAGGTCGATTCCAGCCCCTGGCCTTCCTGTGTGGAGTTTGCATGTTCTCCCCGTGCCTATGTGGGTTTTACTCTGGTTTCCTCCCAAATTCCAGAAACATACATGTTAGGTTAGTTGATCATTCTAAATTGTCCCTAAGTGTGATTGTGAGTGTAAATGGTTGTTTGTCAATGTGTGCACTGTGATTGGCTGACAACCAGTTCAGGGTGTATTCTGCCCGTTCCCCATAGTCAGCTGGGATAGGATCCAGCATGCCCGCGCCCCTTATGAGGGTAAAGCAGTTCAAATAATGGATGGGTGGATATGTCTCGTATCCTCCTTCAGCAAACGTTTTGTCGTGTGACACGACAGAGCTATTTCCATGTTTGATCAAACATGCTTGCCTGCTGATGGCATGAATCACATTGATTACGCTGAATGATGAAAGCTATTCTGAATATAAATAGCATTAAATACATTTTTTAAAAATGAAAGAAATAACACATACTTTAGCTCAGGGGTCCCCAACCGCCGGTCCGCGGACCGGTACCGATCCGCCGGGCATTTGGTACCGGGCCGCACAGAAAGAACTTGCCTTATTTCCGTTTTATTTATTTCGGAATACGAAATATGTTTTATTTTGAAAAATTACCGGATTCTCTGTTACATCCGTCTGTGTCACGCTTGACTCACGTCAAAGGCACACTTCTCGGTCACGTGACCGACGACGCTCATAAACAAAACGCTGAAGCCCGCAAAATGAGTAAAAAAAGCTGCTAGGAGATCGCAAATGACGGCGGCCTTAAATGTACGTTCGAAACTACTGGATCAAAGTTATGGCTGAATACTCTGAGATCGCCACAATAGCACTGTTGCTATTTCCGACATCCTACCTGTGTGAGGTGGGGAGTTTCTGCAGCAACAGCGACTAAAACAAAATTACGAAGTAGACTGGACATAAACCACATACTTGAGGTGTCATTGTCTCCTATTACCCCGAGATGGGACTGTCTGATTGCAGAAAATCAAGCTCGGGGCTGTGGTGAGTCGTCATTTTCATGCACTTTGAATTTGCGTTGTATCGTATTTTGAAGGCATTAAACATTACCAGAGCGATAAGAGTGTTGCGACCAGATTAGACGCTCCTTGTGTTTATTATTATATTTCGAAAACACCACAGTTTTCATGCAGCTCATACCATATTATTTTGTTGTATTAATCCGCCACACCTTAAATGCCGGTCCCTGAAAATATTGTCTGACTTAAACCGGTCCGTGGGGCAAAAAAGGTTGGGGACCCCTGCTTTAGCTAGTTGTTTGTTTGTTTGTTTGTTTTTTACGTCAATAAAATGTTTTTCGGACTTCTTACCAGTCAAACAGAAAAACAACACGAATGCTATTACCGGTACTTTATAATTGGATGGTCAGGGGCGCGGTGGCAGTTTCCTCATTATTTGTGAGAAATCATTTCGATGATCAGTGTCCTCCCATAAATAACTATCAGTTATTATTGTTAATAACATGACATAACAATATTATTAAAGGTAATTTGAAAAAAAAATTCTCAAATGTGTGTCAAAGTGGTAGCCCTTTACATTAATCATGACCCAAGATATAGCTCTTACCTTTGAAAAGGGTGGTGGCCCATGCGCTAGACTTACCGGTAGCTCTATTTGTTTATTTTTGTTGTTTTTGACTTTGTTGGGACAGATTGGTAATATTTTTAATGCTAAGGGTGTGTGTTGCTTTTGTGTGCTGGCTCCAACTTTGAATTTCCATTTTGTCTGCAGGACCAATGAAGCAATTTTGCTGGCACTGTATGAGGCCGTGCACCTCAACCGCAACTTCATTACTGTATTAGCACAGGTAACATTCAGACCTTTTCTATATTTTTGCATGTCTGTCCACACACATTGAGCTGCATGTTTTGCCCTGTGTGAACTGCTATCAGTTACGGTAGTCCATGCTTTTCATGAGCATATCATTTTGTAAGTTACAACCTTTGGGTAACTTTTGGTGGTTTTTTTTTTTTTTTTAATGGCAACTCACAGGTAGTTTCATTTCTTAGTACTCATTTGTAATGACATTTTTTTAAATTCTTCGATTGTTTTTTGGTCTTTCCACAGAGCCACCCTGAGATTGACATTGTAGCTACACCCACTAACCAATCTCAGAACACACCAACAACGCCGCTTGGCACGACGCCACCCTCTCTAGACAGTATGTCATTCTTGTTTTTTCCTTTTCTTGTTTCTCTCTTCTTCTTACAGGCATAGAGTTGTTTCTTTGGAAATTAGTTAGGGAGTCATACCACAAGGAATAGTATGCTAGATTACTTTTAATGCTCTAAAATCTTAAGAATTTCTAGAATGAAAAAGTAATTTCTCCTGCAGTGCCCCCAGCAAACTCTCCTACTTTCCAATTTTAAGTTCTTCCACTGGAACTACCGGTATGTATTTACAAACGCTTGAAACTGCAACTTGCCCTGTAACCAGTTTGGAAGTACCTGAAGGGGCCAGGAAATAGAACACGGTATTTTGAAAGCTTTTTAGCATTAAAGGTCTCTGCCTCATGTTTGATTTTGACCGTATTGCAAAATGCATTTTTCATTACTCCTTGACCAAACATTGTGACTGTCCTGTCATGACCAAAATCTCTTAAGAGAGACACAAATGTACCTACACAAGCAGGCTTTTCAAACATTTAGTAGTTTGTCTTACGAAATGGAGTCGCTTCGTTTAACTGCCCTGCCAAGACAGCTGGAAGACACCTTCGTACTCGGGTTTCTCTTCGAACCAAAATGCTTCATGTTTCGTGTTTGCACATGTAGTTCATTTGGGATACACACACACTAACAGGTACATGTTTTTATCTCAGGCTAGTTTTCCCATGGCCGTGAGAGCAATCTTCTGTATGAAATATTAACTCCTCTGTTCAGATGAACCTGTCACGTGCAGGCTGCGTTAAAACCAGATCATACCGATGCCTGCAGTCAGGAATATCCAAGCGTAATAGAACTCCCTGTGATGAAATCTGTTCAGACAGATCCTCTGCTGTGTGCCTGCAGTGATCGGAGGAACATGGAAACAAATGAGCATTTGAGCGAAGGGGGAAAATAGAAATGACCGCTTCATCATTAGTGAAACAATCAATTGTGATCACAGATTTTCATGAGCTGAAGATACCGGTCTAGACAACACTGCAACTTCAGCAACTGATCTGAAACGTTCCTTCTCTTATCATTGTTTGCTTAAAATGAATACAACCACTATAAGGCGGTGCTCTCACTTTTGGAGGGCCAAGTTATGGCTCAGGGATTTTTTTGATTAGGTTATTAAGGGAGGAACTGACCTGGAACTGACATGTGGTGAATGGTTTGTGAGATTTAAAGTCATTCAATGAAAGCTTTCCATACACTTAGACCCAAAGTGGCTTAAGTTTTAATTGTTCATGCTCCGTGTAGTGATGAACAACCCAGAGCTGCCACTGGATCCCAACCTGCAGACAAGTAACCTTCTCATCACTTTCCTCAAATATGCCTCTATCGTCATGCAGGACACAAAAGGTAACAAATAGTACATTGCCTGTTCCATCCCCTTCCTTTTAATGCTTCCTTTAGTTCTCATCTTCATACATAGAGTATATACAGTACTTACATGATGTGTGCCCATATCCTGGCAGATTTATGTAGTGTAAATAATTTTACAGATCTCATTCTCAAAAATAAACATATTTTCAGATGAGCATCGACTCAACAGTGCCAGACTGTGCCTAATCATCCTCACATGTATAGCCGAGGTAGGAGCAGCGTGCATGCTTGGACATCCTTCCGTCACCTGAGCACTTAATCTCAGTCGTGTTTACCACGTGATGTTTGTGTGTGACAGGACCAGTACGCTGATGCCTTCCTGCATGACGATAATATGAACTTCAGAGTCAGTCTGCATCGAATGGTGAGTCAATGGTAGGGGTAGGCAACTGCGGTCGGAGAAAGCCGCAGTTCTGCCTGTTTTAGAAGTTTCCCTCTGATTCAAATGAACAGCTGATCAACACGCTCTGTAAAAGCCTGATAACGATCTTGAATCAGGTGTGTCGGAAGAGAGAAAACAAGTAGGATTGTGGTTCTCAGGACCAGCGTTGCCTACCCATGGTCTATGGCAGGCATGTCCAACTCCGGTCCTTGCGGGCCGCTGTCCTGCCTGTTTTCCATCGCTCCCTGCTGCAACATCCCTGAGTTCAAGGATCAGCTCATCAGAAGCATGAGAACGGTCCTAATCATTTGAATCAGGTGTGTGCAGCAAGGAAAGTGGGAAAACAGGCAGGACAGCGGCCCTTGAGGAACAAGTTTGGACTCCCCTGGTCTATGACATGATTATTTTGAATTGTCTACTCTTTTGAAACAATTTTTTAAACCTGGTCCAATTGAAGCATAGGCCTTATTTTGAACAAAACTGCCATTTCGTGACTGGCTAAGGGACATGTTGGTTGGGCTGATGGTATTTCTTTGCAAAATTGGTGTTTATAGGGTGTGAGAGGTTTTGACTTTATTATTGAATGCCCATATAATCCTTGGTTTCTTACACAATAACCTGATCAAGATTATTTATTGGCAATTTTAAAGGGCATCTTTAGAATGATAGTCCAGGAACTTTCCAGATGTTTTACATCTCTCTCTCTCTCTTTCTCTCTCTCTCTCTCTCTCTCTCTCTCTCTCTCTCTCTCTCTCTCTCTCTCTCTATATAAAATATTATGAAAGAAATGATTGATTATTGTAATACTGTTTTTAAACACGCTGCATGATCCAGAAAACGTAATGGCTGATTTGTCTCAACAATACTGACATATTTACTAGCGATATTTATATTGAGCTAATGTGTCACGTCGGCATTGTATTCGACTGCCTCGTACGTCCGCCTGGGTATGCTGTGGTAAATATGGCCAAAGGTAGGATATTCAGCATCATAACAAGGAAAATATAATTATCAGGCCAAAAACCTCCAGAAAAGTGCCATAGAAATGTTGTTTTTTTATTATTATTATTATTATTATTATTATCACATCAGTCCATAACGGGGGTAGGGGGCAGCAGTGTAGCCCAGACTTCCTTCTCCCCAGCCACTTCTTCCAGCTCATCCCGGGGGGTTCCCACGGCATTCCCAGGCCGTCTGGGAGACCCAGTCTCTCTAGCATTATTATTATCATCATCGTAGTCATCGCCGTTGTTGTTATCATCTTGATGATTGTTTGAACCAATAACCACGACCCATATTATGAAACATCAGACAATCATGTCAATTCATATGAAGACATGTCCTTGTTCATGTTGGTGTCGTTAAATGCGTTCCCCTTTGCAGCCCATGAGGCATAGAAAGAAAGCCGTGGAGAAGAACATCCCTTCTCTGCCGCTGGTGTGTGCAGTTTTAGGTAAGATATTTCACATGAGTTGTTACGTACATTTGCCTCATCTTTGAGGTTCCATTTAATTCCTGTTTATAATTATGTGCTGTAATTAGTGGTTATTTGGGAGTCGTATGTGTTACCGGAATGTCAATAGATGTTCACTTTAACATGCTTTTGTAGTCTGGATGTTGCTTGCATTCCCAAAAAAGATATCAGCTTTTACAAGTAACTTTTCAACTGCTTTCCATAGATCTGATGGTGGAATTTATTGTCACACACATGATGAAGGATTTCCCCATGGATTTATACTTGTGAGTAAAGACAGTACGTACTCAAGGCACACAAAATTGCATACATATCCATCTTTTTTTTAAATATATTTATTTTTATTTTTTTATGTCCTGATCAGGCGCTGTGTTCAGATCATTCACAAACTTCTCTGCTACCAGAAGAAGTGCAGAATCAGGTTACACTACACTTGGAGAGAGCTATGGTCAGGTATGCATCATTTCAAATCATGGAAACTCAACTGTAAAATTACATTAACCAGTCACCATAACAATATGACGACAAGAACAATGTCAAATATTCTGCCTTTGCAAAGATGATGATGTTCAGTTTTGTCTGTCTGATACATCTCTGACACTGTCAATTGAATCTGAACCTCACTGTATTTGTAAAGGCAGAATATTTTATAGTGAATCCTCATAGTTTTAAGAATCATAATGGGGGCTAGCGTTAGGGTTTGTGTTAGATTTGTGCTACAATTACAAGCACATAAAACACAGCACAAAAGTGTGTTTTGAGCACACAAGAACAATTGTTTTGAGCCGAGTTGACTGATCATCTGCCGACCCGAAGAAAAAGCTGCCGAACCAACGATGTGAGCGCACTTCATGCGTGTCACAAACACGCCGAATGAAAGTGTGGCTTAACTTTGTTCAGTTAAATGACCGGTCACCTCAGTGCAACTCTTGCAATAAGATTATGTTGTGCAAACTAAAATGATTGAACACCGTCGGATGGATACATGACATAAAGTAAAGAACTGCCCTGTCTTTGACGTGCTTGCTCCGGTGTTCAAGTGGCTTTCGTGTTCTGGTTGATCAGTATATAGGTGTCATTTGCTAGTTATTCTCCTGGTTCAAGAAAAATACTAGTTACAAATACTTCTCAAGAATAATGGGTATAACCTTAGAAGGGGAGTTTGCAGGGATTTTTTTGGTTTTGTTTTGTTCTTTTTTTGTTTTAAGTAATCCATTATGTCCAAAGAATCAACCACCTATCAGAGACCGGAGACATGACCAATGTGTTGTGAGTCATTTGCTGTGCAGTCTCAGGCACACCTCTGTAGTTTTTCGCATATTGTTCACCTTCGTTTATTAACCAAAGTTAAAAGGAAGAAATGGGAGACAGGCTGAGACAAAACAAGGATGAACGATATGGTGTCCTGCGTGGTTCAGCCACGGTGGGGTTTTGAAGATGAACCTCTACAGTTCTCACCGGTGAAAAGCTAAGTGCGCTAATTGGTCGGCTTTAAAGACTGAGCTGCCAGCACCCTCTCTTGAAGCATCGCGGAAGTGAGGTTCACATACTCGCCCAGCATTTTTGCTCACCTTCGTTACACACAGAAGCTATGCTTCAGAGCTATCAAAAGTAGCTGAGAGAACTTAGAACCAGTGTAGAATTTGCAGCACTCCTGCTCGACAGGTAGATTTATCACCTCTTTGATTTTTATTTGAGAGTACATTCCATAAACATCAAACTTCAAACCGATAAAATTCAGTGTTTTGCAACACTTGATTACAAGTAAGCCAAGGCTAGCAACATAGCAGCCGTGGCTGACATGAGCTTGTTTATAGTCCTCGTTTGTATAGGGTGCATCTCATGCACGTTCACATTCGTGAGGCGCGTGTCTGAGGCCACGTGGCTTTGGTCAGAGACTCGCGAGCGGGATGGAGTTGTGAAGTCAAGTGAGGCTTCATTCAAATTTGGGTGGCAGCTTTTGAACCACAAACCCCCCTTTAAAGCTACATACTTTTTTTTTTTTTGAACTAAAGGTCCCAATTTTGCTATCTTTCATCTTTTTTCCTCCCTCTTAGCTGTGATGAGAAATACTGCTTTTGTAAGGTTTGTGTTGTAAATCTCTTGATGCTTAAATTTGTTGTGCATCAATGTCGAAGAGTTTGCAAGCAAAATGCAATTTCACTCTGAAGTCATTGGCATGTGCATTTGGAAATAAATTGCATCATTGAGTTTGGATAATGAGTCTCTGAAGAAAGCAGAATCCATCGCGGTGGTCCTAGTTTCAGCCTGGTCAACACAACACAGGATCACATTCTACTTTTTAATGGTCCCATTGCGCTGTGTCTCATTAGAATACCGATTCCTCTAATCAGACCAATAATCAGCTTCATTCTCTGGATGGCGCCGCATTCCCTGCTTGTGCTGATGATAATAGAGGGAAAACAAAAGATAGAGTCAAATTCAACCGGCAGATGCTTGTTATCTTTCAGTGTGTTTGAAAAAAAGCATTTATCTTTATGCTTGTTTGCATAGGTTTCTCGATGTCCTACATTATTATGTCTTAACAATAACTTGTGCACCGAATAAATCTTGGTGCAGCCATAATTCTCTGTTTAAAGATGTCTATCGAACTCTAGATTTTTTTTTTTTCCATTACCGGTAATCGTTTTTCTCCCTCTGCATAGCACTTATCAACCTGCTCAAGTTTCTGCTGTCAAATGAAACCGCATTGCTGGCCAAGCACAACATCTTTCATCTTGCACTACTGGTAAGAAACACACAGCAGTGTTAAAAGGTGAATAAAGGCTGAATAGAGAAGTGTCTGGTAATTCTTCTGCATGACTTAAGTGCGTGAGATTGAATTACGAGGTGTGTCAGAAATGATCCAAGACTGATGTCACAAAAGATATCTTTCAAATTCAAACTACTAGTTCCCCTTGCTCAAAGGGGCCATTAAAGACTGGTTTTAAAGACATGGAGATGGCAGTGATGACGGTGCTGCGGAGGATCCAGGGAAAAATCCAGCATGGCGTGGCAGAGAAAGCCAAAAAAATTGTGTTAGATTCCAGTGGGGTTACTTCAAAGGAGGAAACTAAGATTGGAAATATGTCTTATGTGACACCAGTCCTGCAAATTTCCAAATGAAGTTAATTAAGTGTAAGCACGATGTAATGTTAATTTAAGCCTACTGTAGTATTAAATGGTTCGGCCTTCCTGTTTCCCCTATCCAGGTGGTAAACCTGTTCAACATGTTCATCACATATGGCGACACATTTCTTCCCACATCTAACAGCTATGATGAGCTCTACTATGAGATTGTACGAATGCACCAAGTGTTTGACAACCTCTACTGTATGGGTACGTTTCAGTTCTTAAAGCATTTCTCAACCCAAGTAAAGCTGAGTTCTCCCACAAAGAATACAAATTTGCCCAAGGATTCATGACAATGACAATATAAGGATTTAAAAAAATATTAGCAGCATTCACATGGGTCCTCAATAATGCTTAAATTCGATTTAACAGAATGGAGGCCTTAATTATCCTTGAAATTATTTTTTTATTATTGTTAAACATGCAGATATCATGCTGGAAAATAATTACCTGTAACTACTTTTTTTTCCAAGCAACAAGACCATTCCAGGTTGTGCTAATTACGAAAAAAAATGTGATTACTTAACAAGAACTTGCTGTAAATCATTTTTTAATGAACTGTTTTGATCTGCAACTGTTGCTTTTCAGTGTTGAGAGTGTCAACAAACACCGGCCAGTGGAAGGAGGCTGCGAGTAAAGTCACACATGCTCTTGTTAATGTTCGGTAATAAAACACACACACACACACACACACACACACACACACACACACACACATTTGAACATCAGAAATGTATGCAAAAGGACAAAGTCAGATTGGCGTGTTGAACAGATTGCAAAGAAGTATGTGGTGGGGAAAGGTCAAAATGGAGTGAATCAATTATTTGTATTTAATTTTGTTTCTCGATCACAACCTAATCCCTGTTTGAACTTCCTTCACCTCTCCCTAGTGGCCCTCGGTAAGGTTCACACGCATACTGTCTTTTCCCAGTCATAAAGTAATTCCTCATCCATGATCCTCAGGGCTCACCCTGGCTTTGAGGTCCCTTTATGAGAGCTGGTTTCTCCCTGAGGTTTCTTTCACCTAATCAGTTGCGCTCTCCATGGAGCGTGGGCTGCTTCAATTGGCAGTTGTAAAGGTTGAAGGGAAGGCAGCTGGATATGAGTGTTGTGGAATAATTTAACAAAGACTAAATAAATGAAGGCAGGGAGGAATAAAGACGTCCAGATAGTCGATGGAGAAACTAAACCAATTTGATTTCTTCCCATCATCCCCTTCCGACATTCAATGACCTTACTCACGTAAATGACAGTGGGAAATAACATAGAGCGCAATTCTCTGTGTTGCTGTCACTAGAATTTATTTGCTGTATAATGCCAGTACAAGCTGAGCCATTGCAGCTTGCGCTTATACCATCAGTTTATATTTGGCCAATAAAACAGATCATTCCATAGAATTGAATGCTAATGCGGGAAAATATTGCCTTTTTGAAATTCACCAGTGTGCTCCAATTAGATCCAATCGAACAGAAATGAGGTGCTGAACAGGTCAGCTGTTGCATAGCTACTATCTTCTCAGACCTGCACACTATATATAATACTACATTACTTGGGTGCACTTAAATGTGGGTTTGCCATCTGCAGTTTACCAAACATATATTAACACGTCATAGTTTCCTCATGTACTTCACTGCAGTTTTTCCCCAAGGTATGCAAGCACATTGCAGGGTGGTGCATGGGAACATGTAACAATTTATTTCCAAAACAATAAGTAAATATCGTCAGGTCAATAAAATGGTATATGTGCGCTGCAACTTTTTCCCGGGAGAGACAATAACCTGTGGCCAGTCCCGCCAAAATCACAACACCCTTTTCTTATTAAAGCTCAGATGACTGATTAAAAAGGGAGTCAAACTGCGATAGTGGGGCTGAATGTTATTCTTATTCCGTTTTCTTACTATTTCAAGTTGCAGTGCCATTTTAAAAGGGACTGATTTAAAGTAGCGCAGTTTTTGTTGTAATTGAGAGATACATATGTGTAAGGGGATACACACAGTAAGACAAAAATGTTGGGAACCACTGCTTCACTGCATATCAAATGTATTTACAATTTGATAAATGTAGCCAAATCGAAAGACGATATATATGCTTCAAGTTTTATCAAGCGTTTGCATCTTGATACGATTAGTGCAGTCTTTGGTGTGCCTTGTGCCCTCTCTGCTGCAATCTGCTCTCAGAGATGAATTAGACTCAGTCTGTGAGCCAGGCCCTCATCAGTGCCTCATGGCCCTAATGCTCTTATGGGTGTTTTGGAGCAAATCTCCCGGAGCCTGCTTCCAAAATTGTGATGAAAGCTTTTGCAGCAGACTGGAGCAGCTGATTTAATTTGTGCAAACAGTGAAATGAGGTATTCCGTCACAAGTAGCTGTACACCCGGTAACAGGCTCGTTTTGTCTTTGAAGGGCAATCATCAACCATTTTAACCCGAAGATTGAGTCGTATGCTGCTGTGAACCACATCTCACAACTGTCAGAGGAGCAGGTAACAGTACACATTCACACCAGTATCTCTTGGGCTTTTGGGCTAGATGTGGCATTACACAAAATTTAGACTGGACTCATGAGTATTGTCCAATACAGGGTAAGTTTCTTAAGTGACATATCAATTGTAGTCACGAATGGCGTCAAACTCCGGTCCTGGAGGGCCGCTGTCCTGCATGTTTTTCAAGTCTCCCTGTTGCAACACACCTGATTCAAATGAACAGGTCCAATGTCAGGCTTCAGCAGAGCTTGCTGATGATCTGATCATTTGAATCAGGTGTGTTGCAACAGGGAGACTT